AGTTATTCCGCACCACACTGTCACACGAAGAGAATGCAGCGGCCTTTCTTGAGTTTCTCTTGGATTTTCATCGCACCAAATTCTAGAATTACGTCTTTAGAATAAAACAAGTTTCAATATCTTAGCGTTAATAGTTTTCGTTTTATTAGTAAATCAAAAGGGTCAGTTACTTCTGGGACACTCTGTATTTGAGGGTGCTAGACAACATTCTTGGAAGTCCCCACTGCGGTTCAGCAACAGTGAAGACCTTTAAAAGCGTGGCATTCTCCTCTGGAAATCTATCTAAGAGAAACCTATCAATGCCAACTAACCACATTTTATTTCATTCAGTCAAACGAGCGTCCTTTGAAAATCAAAGAATTATAATCGGAAGTACGAAATCCCCGAGCCCCTATTGAGGGGCATGCCACAGAACCTCAGAATTAAATATGGAGTCGTGGATTACAATGCGGCAAAAATTTTAGATTTAACTGCTATTCTCTCACTTAACTCACTCACGGATATTTCCTTGCCCTAATAGAGTGGAAGCCATGTTTCCTAAGCACAACGAGATGGGTTAATGTCAACCGATGACGAACCCCAAGGCCACAGCAGTCCGCACGCCCTTCAGAGAAAGTAAATATACCCTTATAATGGTCGAAGTCGAAAGATCTGCGCGATCACAGTGTTGGGGATCTTTGTTGCCAAATGCTCTTATTAGTCAAACACAAAACGCACCCAAAAGCTGGAGAGGTCCCGACTACACGAACTGCCACATACTAAACAAGAATCTACGACATTTTACTTGGCACTAAAATCTATGCGCGATGATAAAAACGCAGGTTTGGAAGAAAGTGTTTTATTGTGACATGTTAAACCGGGTTGATCGTTCCGTTCACATGAAAAGAAGAAGATAACAGGACGTGTCATAAGCATGTACCACAGTAGAAAGGAAACAAGAGATACTATGAAAGAATACAAGGCAGTATGTGCAGTATTAAAGATGGCCAAAAAATCGGTTGAGAGAAGCAGTGTGAAAGATTGGAAGAAATGATGATTCCTTTAATAGGCCTTGAAATTTGCACGTCAATCACCTCATGATGCTTGCATCAGGGACTCGAACTTCTGACTGACTGCTTCTAAAAACTCCATTGTATTCAGATATTGGTCAGGATTCACCGAAGTGGTCTTGTGAACACAGATAGCAAGATCTTTGGTCATCTTTCCGGATTCAATTGTTTTAACGCACGCCTCCTCCAGAGTGCGACAGAACCTTGGTAGAAGAAAGTGATGGTTTTTAACGTAAAAGAGTTGAACTCAAACGTACGTGTACCTAAAATACACCGCCTTAAGTTCTTTCAAAAACTTCCAACAAAATTAAAAAGCTAGATCATAGAATTCCAAATGGTTGCCTAATGGCAATCGTGCAGCTCAAGATAGAGGCTAATTTTGTGTTCATGTTTATTCGCCACGCTGGAGTCACGATTTGATGAGCGCTGGAACGGTAGGTACGAACGCTAGAGCAACCAATCAACAGTGACTGCTGGCTGGGACAAGCTAGGGAAGCCAATGACTAAGGTAGTTGCGATGGCCTGATCGCGCATCTCGGTTTTGAAAAAACATCAGCCGGTCACGTGACTTCTGTCTTTGCACACCTTGGGCCGGCTGCTTTGTGGCGCGACTCATGAAAAACACTCGCAGACGGTATGACTGCGGTGGAGCGACCTATCTTACAGAAGACGCAAATAGCAACGCCATGATTGTGCTTATTTGAATACCTTACAGAATGGACAGACTATTAACATCGTATGCTACATCTTGGATAAAGAACTGAGTCACCTTTCGTCGTGTCAAGCATACACGTAAAACAATATATATCTTAGGCACAGCTGAAACGCGAACTAAACTTGGTTAATATTCTAATATAACACACGTACGACTGTCAAAGTTATTCCAAATGATTTCTTAATTTACCGCACCGTATATTTTAGTTGTGATCAGGAACGTTTTCTGGGACGGGAAAAACGTCGATAGGGGTACAGGTACAAAATCGTAAGCTAGGTAGGTCACAGCTATTGCGATGCACTTATATAAATTACAAGAGTTGTGGAAAGAAGTAAATGTGCACTAGGGTAAGAAGAAAAAACTAGTTTTAGCACACAGTTGAAAAACCATTCGTGCAAAGGTCAGCATGAGAGAAGAGGAATTTCGTCGGTAAAAGGAAAGGGCTCAACCCCGTTTGGCTAAGATGACAACAATTGGGTTTTTTTGGAGGGAGGAAACTAGCGTGGCCCAGAGACAGTCAAACTTCAGTTTCTCCAAAGGACTAGACGGAGGCATATAAGCCGCGTGATCAGAGGAAGCAGAATAGAGGAAAAAAGAAGTACAGGAGCCTCGATAAAGCGTACAAGCATCGGGTAACTAAACCACACAGAGAATGTACACGATGAACTTACGCTAAACATATATCTTTTAGATTTTTTTTAAATTTCCTTAGAAATTAAATTCTACCATGAAGTAGCTCATTATATTTAAGGGTCTACAAGCACAGACGGAAAGTTGATGTAAATATGTGAACCAGCAGCCACTGCGGGATGACCGCGTAATATTCACAAGCTGCCAAAAGGTAACTAGTAGCATACACTGACAGCCCAAATTCTAGCTAATTACCGGACATGTGTTTCGCCGGTATTCTGCCGCTGCAGGACACAGCTGTGAGGGGCCTGGCTCATCAGTGAGTCCCCCAGCATTGCCTGTGTGCTTTCGGGTAGACACTACAGTTTTCAAATTTTAGCTTTTTAATTTCTCTAAAAACATAGTTTGAAACTTTCGAAACGCATACTTTTCGAGTTCAGCATTCCCGTCGAGCTTGGCGCGATGCAGCAGACCTCGAGTCCAGGCAAATATGCTCGCCACTGGATTGGTGCTGGTAGGGCGACCCTTTTGGTATTCTCTATAATGGCGAGTCACCGTGCCATGAGCTGCCTCAGACTCCATCGTCTTGCCATCCGGACAAAGCAGGACAGACGTCATCAGACCGAGCGATCCATAGCCTGGTAGGAAAAAAAAGAAACCCAACAAAACATCTTAAATTCACCAACACCGAAAATTATGTCATGCATCTGACACAACACTAGCATGCAAGCTAGTGTTCGCTTGTGCGAGTATGTTTATGAGACGCTAATCTCAGCGGTGCCAAGGCCTGCTCCGTGAATGCATTACGTAAAAATAGCATGCTCTTTGCAGCCTGGTCACCGTACTAGATTGCCTTTGGCAAGGATTGCTTATATGGCCTTCTAAACCGAATGCGGGAAGGGGAACGCCTCGCCGAAGTAGGATTCTAGTAAGGATAAATATTCTCGTGCCCTAACCTGAACCGCAGCTTTAAGCTTAACCCTAATTCCACCTTAAACCCCAGCCATATAGGTAATACCAACACTGAACATAGCTCTAACCCAAAATACCTAGGAATTTGGTTCACAGTCAGTACTACTGACGGTTTCTCTTTTCACGGCTTGCTTAAGAGACTATTTAAGTAATCCTTACCTCGTATTTAGTAATAACTCAAATATATTGTAGAATCATGGCGACTGTTAGGATTTATAACTTCTGTCAGCATTCTGCAGGCAATATGGTGGCGCATAATTGACATCTCTTTCTACCCTTCCGCACGCCTGAATATCCACGAGAGGGGATCTGGTGAGCTCAAACAGAATAAGAGCGTTCCGGTGTTCTCACTGACAACGTCCTACCGGATCTTGTGTTACCACCTTTTTGTCACTTCCAGGCAATTGGTGTCTGATTCAGGATAACGGCGATTGTTCAACGGGATGGTCGGTGAACAATGTGCATCAGTCCCCTTTTGCGGATGCCGTGACTGCATCACAGCGAGAATGTACTCTTCAAACAAAGATGAAGCCTACGCGCCCCATGCTGAAGGTAGTTTTCAATCCAGAGCGGTAGAAGACCACCGGCTTACTCTATTCTACACGTACAGCTCGACACCCACAACCGACTGATACACAAGGAGCATCACGGCAACCAGTACCAATTCGAACGAAGATGTCGCCTTTACTTGCCAAATGGCTAAAGCATGGCGCCAACATATTTAATACTACCAGTCTTCATTAACGATAGTTGCTGTGGCCTGAACGCAGCGGCAGTTCAAGAGTACTTTCACGAAAGCAAGCTTTTAAGGGCCTAGATACCTTGAATCCTTCAGAATGATGTTAGCAACGTCGTCGAGACGCAAGCCCGACACCGACAATACTGCAAAGAACACTCCAGATAAGCCGATCGGCGATGTAGTTCAACAAACTGGGGAAGACGACGCAACCACCCTCCCCCTTACGGACGCCAGTAAAAGTAAAATGACATGGGACTTCGATCAGGCCGACGTCTTTTGTTGGTATGCCGCCTACTCTGATTATCTGTTACCTGTGGAAAGCAAAATCGATTGTTACAGCAGAATCAACAAATAAAATAGAAACCGGGTACGACTAGCAACGGCAGAAGTTGAGGATGCACCGTCTTGTTAATATGTGATCGATACTTTCAAGATCATATCTGCAGACGACTTAGTTGGAACTTATACCTGTACCACACACACACGGTAGAATTCCTCTGAGAATGACAACCAAGACTTTTGTGGGCGTGTCGAGTATGGTTGTACCACTGTGGGCCCAGCCCCGCTCTAAGTTCTACTATGAAACGCACTACATAAAAGACCTAATTCGATATAAAGGAAAGGAAGTTGTGATTGGTTAGTAGCTGAGGTTGGGAAGGAGCTTGATAATGATCAAGTTGTTAATCGTAACATAACCATTCACAACGTAAACAATCACCACGTGAAAGGTAGTGCCCCAGACGCTTGAGGCCTGCTACACGGAGGCATCCACTTAGATTCATTAGCTTTAGTAGCACTGTCCAACCTATTTTCATAGCAATTAATGAGAAGGGTGGAAAGAGACGTCGTTTCAAAATCTGCTTGGCCTTGTTTGAGCAGTTTCGTGAGTTGATCCGATCATTACAGCACCGATGGTAGAAACGAGGAATTCCCTTAGCTGCTTCGTGGAGTGTACATCACGACCCCTTGCAAACACCTTCTGCCAAGATTTTAGAATAAGATAAAGTTCTGTTTGCGCGGGCTTCAGTGTTTACAGTTACAGTACTTTCGTTACATCAAGATGACTGGCAAGAAGCTTTGATGGCTCAATTGGCAGGTGAGCATTTACGCGTACGCAGCACAAAGTCGTTCCCGGTATTGACGCCATATATCGATCTGCCTACATGCAGCTAGTTACGGAAACTGCCACCTGTTAGCCTATTTACCTCACCGGTTTCAGAGCCACTGTTGGATAACTGGGTCTGCAGGCGCGCATTACGACGCCAAGGTACGTGCTGCTGACAAAACTGATGAGTATGTCTACATTAACGAAAAATCACTAAATAATCTGAAACCAATCCCAACGCATCCGACAAGACACCAAACTAGTAAGAAACGAACTTTTACGGAATTAAAACTCACAAGAAGTATTACAAACAATATTTCATTGCGTAGAAAAAAAAACAACGCTCTCAGCAAAAGCGGAAATTCCGAAGATGCACATAACATGAGTAGAACTATATAATGCTTGTTCGTGTAAATAGCTGGATCTGGTGAAACAGACTAGCCGCGACATTATAGCCATGCCCTAATGTCGCATTGGACATCGAAACGATCCATTAGGTATTCGAAAAGTAACCTGGTCCGGCCCGATCAGTCCCGTCATGAGCAACTTTCAATGGATTGCGGCGAAGCACTTTGCAAACTTGATATGGCATAAGTCACAAGAGTAGATACAGTAGTCGCCGGCTATTAAGCCCACTTCGGGCCCAGACCAAATTGG